AAGGATATTACTATTTTTTAAAGCATTTTTATACATTTTTATATGTAGTCATATGATAGGGCTAGACCTTCCCGGAAACGTACTCATTAGATCAGCCTGTTGTTTAACGCCGCACTCAGCAACATTCCAGTTATAGTTTGGCGGTCTTGAAATAATCGAGTCTGGACCAGACAATCCAGTGATCAACATCATGAACATCGATCTACGCAATTGAGATACGATGACATGTGTCTATCAAGTCAGCGAGCCTGATCACATGTTCCTATTAGTCGCATCTTACTACAAACATGGGTTGTTTTAGACTAATTCTAACTCGAATCTTCACGAGTCTTAAGTAAAAGTCACACTAAAAGTATTGCTCAATAATGATCTCGAACATCAAGTACTGATTACTGAAGTGGTGTGTGACTAGTTTCCCCACAGGAACTAATCTGGGTAAGATGATGTTCAGCGTAGTGTAAGGTCCTCGTTATTACAGTAAGCGTATCAAAGTATAGGAGATGGTCTGTCAGGTGTAAACATCACGGCCATAAAATTGAACATACAACCTCTGAAGCCAACACTATCTCTAAATACTGAATTAAACTGTGAATTAAGTGAACATGAGGGTGGAAAGAATAGAATGATCTTTCAGCTTCATTCAACAGGGACATATACAATTTATTGTTTCCAGAAACATCGGTAATTCCGTACTTCCAAACAGTAACTTTTGTGCCCTGGAAACTCAAGGTTATTCTAATTATATTTACAAATATATAATGTCATTTAATTGGTAATCACATCAACAACGAAAGCAAAACGAAAACAGAGCATTAAAATCCTCATTTTCACTTAAGTCACAGTTTAATTCAGTATGTAGAGATAGTGTTGGCTTCAGAGGTTGTATGTTCAATGTTCCTATTTGTTAATATATTATTACTTTCGGTCGTGACGTTTACACCTATGCTTCGATACACTTAGTGCAATAACATTGACAAACATTTGAACATTTTGGCTCTAACAGAGACATGGTTACGTGATGACACCTCAGACGCTCTAACTATCTCAAAGCTTACTCCCAACGGTTACAAGTTTACCCATGTGGCCAGACAAGGCAGGAAAGGGGGAGGTGTAGCCATTGTGTACAGAGACACACTGAAATACAGCAATCTTAAACTTGATCAACAACAAACATCGTATGAACTGTTGTCCCTCAAGTTCACCTTTGGCTCTGAGTGTATAAATTTCCTTGTAATAGATAGACCTCCAATACCATTCAGTATCTTCTTTGAAGAATTTTGCACTCTCCTGAACGCTCTAACTTTGCAGCCTGGAAAAGTACTAATGTGTGGTGACTTTAACTTTCATGTAGATTCCCAGGGGAACAATGATGGGTCAGACTTTTGGACCACCTTACAAGACCGTGATTTGATGCAGCACGTCAGGAAGCCAACCCACAGTAAAGGTCACACTCTAGACCTAGTGATCACAAGACAGATTGAGCTGAGAGTTCAAGGGATGAGGAACGACAACTCTGTGAAATCAGACCACTATGCGGTGGTCTTCACCGCCAGTATTATGATTCCTAAACGGGACAGCAAGTCTATTTCATGCAGGAAGTGGACGAAAATCTCTGTTGAGAACAGCTCTGACATTTGCTCTGTGTTGGATAGCAGTCAGAGATGTTGTCAATGAACCACTCCCCTCCAGAACTGCACAATCACCGTCCACTATGATGCTCCATGGTATAACGATACCACCCGTAATGCCAAACGCGAACGTCGAAAGTTGGAGCGACTTATGGTCAAGTCTGGTATTCAAATCCACAAAGAAATGCACAATGCAGAAAGGAATTATGTCACAGCCCTAACAGAACAAGCCAAGCGTTCCTACAATAGAGAAGCACTAGAAAAGGCATCATCCCAGAAAGACATCTTTCGAATCTCCAACAATCTCCTCTTCAAAGACAGAGGTAGAGCTCTGCCTTCACATTCATCCCTAGATGAACTCTGCATACTATTCCTTAATTACTTTGGTGACAAGATCATACAAATTAGAGATTCTCTGCACAAACTTGCTCCCTCTAGAGACTCACTCTGTCAGCACACAGAGATCACTCAGCGGCCAGCATCACATCATCTGTGGTCATTCCTCCGACAAGGAAGGGGAAATCTGAAAGCTGATTAAGAACAGTCCTACAAAGTCGTGCACATTAGATCCAACAATGTCAAACTGCAGTGATTCCTTTCTCTACACACCTTATAAACACTTCATTGTCAGAGGCAACTGTTCCTGCTGCCATGAAGGAAGCAATAATATCTCCACTGTCGAAAGAGCCCAGTCTCGACCAGGACATACTGAAGAACTATCGCCCAGTGTTCAATCTCTCGTTTGTGTCAAAGTTGACTGAGCGTGTTATTGCTAAAAGACTGAAACAACACATGACAAGCAGTGTTTTTTTGAAGAAATGCAGTCAGCATACTGGGACATATAGCACAGAGACATCACTCACCAAGGTGCAGAGTGACATCCTGCAGGCAGTAGACTGAGACGGTGCAGCTATCCTGGCCCTGCTAGACCTATCTGTGGCATTTGACACCATCGACCATGACATCCTGCTCAACTGTGGATTGGCATCAGAGGACAGGCTCTTCAGTGGAACCACTCCTACATGACAGACAGACATCAGCAGGTCAGGATAGATAGTTCCACATCCAAGAACACAGTTCTTCGTTTTGGAGTTCCGCAGGGATCGGTACTTGGCCCAATTCTGTTCACTATCTACACTTCTCCACTTTGTGACATAGCCAGAGCTCACAACTTCTCCTTCCACTTCTATGCGGATGACTAGCAACTGAACCTGTCTTTTAAACCTCTCGATCAACTATTTGTTGAGAACACCTTCTGTTCAGCTCAGAGGTGCAACTGAACATATTAAAAACTGGATGAATAATCATTTCAAGTTGAATGAGGACAAGACTGAGCTGTTGATCATGGCTCCCAAACGGATTGCACCAACTTTGAGTCTGCCTCAGTTCTCCATAGGTGATTGCGTTGTCAGCCCGGCCACGGAAGCACGTAATCTTGGAGTGATCTTTGATTCTCAGATGACCCTTGAGCCCCATGTCAAAGCAATCTGCAGGCGGTCCTACTACCATATCAGGAATATTGGAAAGATCCGAAGATATCTAGATGAGATAACAGCAGCAGCATTAGTTCAGGCCTACATCACATCTCGCCTTGATTACTGCAACTCACTCCTCTATGGTCTCCCAGCTCATCTTGTCAAGAAACTGCAGCAGGTCCAGAATGCAGCGGCTCATGTGGTCACTCTTACTCGCAAGCTCGAGCACATCACCCCTGTCTTGAAGAGACTTCATTGGCTACCTGTTTGCTACCGAACCATCTACAAGATTCTGCTCCTCACTTTCAAATCTCTCCACAATCTTGCTCCTGACTACATCTCAAGTCTTATCCAGCCTTACCAACCTCGGCGCAGTCCGCTGCATCAGTGCTCAGCACCATTCTTATGGAACAAACTCCCAATCAACATACGGGCCTCACAAGAACTCTCACTCTTCAAAACCAAACTAAAAATGACTGACTGACTGACTGACTGAGTCTGATTGACGTCTGATTACAATAAATGACAACCAATTAACAATGAAATTATCTGGAGATTTTATTAAGCTTTCTTAAGAATTACGTTTTGGGACCAGCACATGTGAAGATAAGCTACCCAAGGGTACTAATGAAAATTTTCAGTCTGTTATGTACAGTTGGTTAAGAGGCACAATTGACTATAAATACATGAGAAATATTTACCTAGTACAAGATAATTCCTGTGAATGTGCTTGCATGTACAGAGAGGATACGGATATGAAATCATCACATGATAAAATGACACGATTAAGATATTTTGAGAATAGATTTACAAGGTGACAATGAACCTTCTTTCAATTTTCAATTTCATAAAGTACAGAAGACTTGGTACACATTTTTGTCTTCCCGTCACATAGTTTTACAGGGCAAATGACACGACCTTTCTTGGCTATATAGACCACTCAGCATATTACATGCTAATCAGAATAACATATGTGAACATGCTACATGATCAAGGGTGCGCGGAGATACCAAACGTCTATCCCATAGTATTAATGACCTTGATTATCCGACGTCAGGTGTTAAAGTCCAAATAGCAGTGAAACTTATGTGGTGCATGCACCATCCATGGTACATAAAATGTTATTCTGCATTGAGAGTATCACTGATAGCTAATAGTATCAAGATGGTCTATTTTCTTGACAATTTCCCACAGTAATTTGGGATTGTTTCTGCCAATTGTGAAAATATAGTTAGCAACGTTTGTTGCGGTTTTCCTGGACAGATCACATCCAATATATGTCAGTTCCATTGTGAATAACCTGACATATGAATCATCGATCTGGTTATTCTGGATAGGGACACCAGGTGCTATATCACGTGACATCTTCCTCAGCATCGGTAGCAGTGTCCGAAGTCCCTCTGACTGATTCCTTGCATGACATATGACGCTGTTTAAAAGTTCCTTAACAATGGCTTGGTCTCTCTGATCTATCTGCTTCCATTGCTCCAGCAGGTGCTTGTACTGCATCTCCACCATCTCTGTTCCCTGCATAGACGGAGGCCAGCCTCCTCCGTTCGTGGCATCCCTTGTTATGTTGCTGCCTTCACCTTTCTGGAAATGCCTATTCTCGTGTGGAGTGGTGCACTCCTTGGCCTGATTCCCGAGTCGGATGTCCTGTTTATCCGGGTACATGCCAAGTGCTAATGTGGAACTTCCGGTTCCACCATTCCTATATCTTCCACCAGTGTCACTATATATCCCACCACTGTCACTATATATCCCACCACTCACACTATATATACCACCAGCGTCAAAGGGCATTTCTGTATTTTCATTGTTTTCAATATCGAGGCCTTGAGACTGGCGTGTTGTCGTAGGCTGACTGATCCTTACTTTGTGGGGGATGCTGTTATCACTATCTGAAGATGCACGAGGAATTACCTCGTTGTGGACGATACACGTGGAACATACTACATCTTCTTCTGAAACCATGACCCAGTCTGCTTCCTACACAGTCTTTTGTATTTTCAGATTCACCTTCTGCATTACATATGCCGACTGAAAGGCCTTTCGACTGCAAATTTATATCAGGCTCACGAATCTCTAAACCAGGCAAACACTCTTTAAGCTGAAATGAAATAAGATATAGCAATAATCACCGTTTATATAAAAAAACTGATATAACAGACCGAGACTGTAGAACATTTCAAGGTATTTAGTTTGAGAAAGTATAATGTCATTCTTATACAAAGGATGTTTCAAGTTGTTTCGGTTATTTCCCACTAAATATCAAACATCGATTTGATGGTCCTTGTACAGGTATAGGGGGACGTCTCATAACGTGAATTTCAATGCCAGTACCTCCTTGTATTGTCATTCATTATTATTCATTGTGGCAGAATGTATTGAGTTTAATTTGTCTCATTAAGCCAGGAACATCCTTCAGGTCTGACTGTGAGGTCCCAGAGAATACGCACTGTAGACACAGTGTTGTAAAGAAACTACTTTTCTAAGTTGTCGAGCTTTTCGATCTGAGCTTGCTTTTTAAGTTGCGCTTTACAATATGTATGCACTATATATTTGCACATTTGAATAATGACTTGTTCAGTTTGACAACGTAAAACACACAATGCATGGCTCTAATCGAAGTTGAGACGTTGATTTACTGGTTATTGAGTGAATGGTCTCTATTTACCTGAGATGCGTTTCTTCCTCGAAAAAATATACCCATGGAACGATAAAGGGCGGAGACCAAGGATGCTGAAACAAATATCACATGCCTTTGGTGATAGATCCAGTATTGGAATATGTATGTTTAAACTTTAATACAACTATACGAGACATCACCAAATTACAACACGAAAGTGCAAATTGCATCACTAGGAGCATATTTGTCAATGGAATCTTTTCGTTCAGTGTTCTTAAGACTTAATTGTGATCACTCAATGTCTGATTTTAGTGTTCAGCGATTATATGGAACTCACATTCTTGTTGTCTTTAATGTCGGATGCCTTATAAGTTCATGAGCCTATTCATTATCCTGGATACCGATACCTCGAAATAAGGAAACACGAATCAACCTACTGGACCATCACCTAGGTTACACTTACGTTGAATATTATCGGAATATTGACCGCCATTGCCAGACTCTATAGCATGGTCTGTAGCATCATCTGTAGTAGCGTATGTAGCAGCTTCTGTAGGAGCGTCTGTAGCAGCCTCTATAGCTGAATCTGTAGCATCTTCTGTAGAAGCGTCTTTAGCAACATCTGTAACAGCTTGGTGACTGTGTTGCTGGGAGTGATCTTCAACCATCACTTGTTTTTCACTTTCGCTGTCAAGACGAACTCTTGATTTCCTTTCACTCGTAAATGTATCTGTAACACAGATACCGATGTTATTTGGCAACAAGACATTACTGACTGTAGCAAAGGAGACAACTTTTAGATCGACAACAAACAAAGGACAACGTCCAATGTCACTTACCCTGCGCTGATTTAAGGACATTGTTGTCAATCTGTGTTCCAATTCCGAGTTGATCGATCATCTCCGTGATGACTTCTTCTCGACGACCAATGAGAAAATAAAATTATCTGAAATTAAAAATAATGTAGGTTACACATCTGTGATTGATATAAGGACAATGTAGGGAATTAAATTTGGGTACAGAGTCATGTAAAGATGGTGAGTATTTAACTGTCTAAGGCACCAGTACATACATGTGTTACCCATCCCGCCATGGACACTCTGTGCTGTGTTGGCAGTTGAGACTGTTTCTGCTCTTACGCCATGGATGGTGGTTTCTGGGACTCCCGATTTCCGATCCAACTCTACAAAATCGAACAATAGATATTATGTATCTGTTTCGAATTGTTCTTTTAAAACAACTTATTATCTCCACGATCAATTCAAATGTCTATTAACGTGTTCATTTAACTCTAGCATCTGCTTTAAAGTGAAAAGACATTCTTCTGTTGTCCATAGGTTGCATCAGTACTAACCGTCTGCTGAGCTTCTCCAAGACATCGACCTTTTCACATCTTGAGAGCTCTGGTGAATTTCAACGCTCTTATTGTAATCCATGTTGGTTCACCACCCCTCGGCAATAGTCTCAGGTACTGCCCCTCAGCCTTCTGTTACGACCTTTATGGTTCTGTAGCAGACGAGAACGGAAACCCTTTGTATCTGTAGTGGCCTCCTGGAGCCCGGTGTGTAATTATGGCCTTAAGCTGTATCTTATATCAACAATATTCCCCAGTAACTGCTCATATGTACATTACCCTCGCGGATCTTCTTGCAGTCGTTGTGTCCTTTACATCCGCTGTTTAGAATCTCCGTGGACTGTGATAGTGTCTGTCTCCGTCTTGGACGCACGTTCAGTTCAAGAGATAAGTATCCTGATTTTCGGAAAGGTTAATAACACCTGCTACACTAAAACACTGAACACGATTGATTGAGAAACGTTTATGGTCAAGTCACCTAACACTCATTACAAGCAGGTTACATACAACTCTAGTGACCTGTAGTGACAATGTAACATTCACAACACAAGTTTAGAGTCCTTATAGAATGCTGATAGCCCGTATAAAGAAAATCCACTAATGAACTGTCAGCAGCTGAATGAGGACGTTTTAACTACCGCATGTATGTATCAAAATAGATATACTGTAGGTGTGTACCTATGGTGCTGATATCATTGCAGAATCAGGGGAGGTAACCTAGCTCAAGTAAACTTTTTAACCACACGTTGTGAGTTCGATTACGTATATAGACGTGCCATTTGTATCTCACATACGGATATATGAGGACGTCAGTCAACAGGATGCACAGTCACCTGATTTTGATCGCGTAATCTAAACTAATCTTGTTCAAATAGATAGAAAAAATTACGAACATTGTTAGGAAAGTCCGAGTGGCATCAGCAAAGCTGGTGTAACAATACATCCTGCTGCTATATATATGGATACTCTCTCTCTCATTCTCTCTCTCTGTGAATGTGTGTCTTTTATCATGTAAGGCAGACTTTGAAGCTATTTTATACATTACACATGATAAGGGTTTGAAGTCCCGGGAAAGTTGAGAAAAGTGCAATGCGCTTTGTCTCTTCCCTCAAGAACAATTCTCACCCGGATCTTCACTAGTGCGAATCGCTATGTATTAATCTGTGCAATTAGAAAGATCATGTGAAGCTGATTTTACAGGCATGCCCCAAAGGATGAATTTATTCGAGTAAAGTGAGTGCGTAAAAGGTCTTTCATGGAATCTGTACACATTACAATACATAAATCAACCCAGCGCACACGCACTCATAATAAGAATACATTCCTACACCATACAATATAATCTAATGATTTGACAGAGTGGTTGATTGAGTGGTTGAGGGAGGGAGGGAGGGAGGATTTGGAGTAGGGTGTAACACGGCTTTAAGCATCAATTAGTAACTTGATGAAAGGCACAACCTCGGGTTGAGACTGAACGACTTTGAACGATCAGTGGATCCTGCCTAGAGTAAGTAATTTAACTCTGCAAAGATATGTACAGTGTACCGCGTATACCAACAGGTCTCAACTGACCTCCTTCCTTATCAGATTAGTCTCATGCACATTCTGCATTACTGTGAAATGCCAGTAAGAGCATAACCCACGCAGGTGAAATCTGATATTGTTGAGACACCGCTAGTCAGCAATAAAGTGTAAACTGAAACATTCCAGAAGACGGAATAAGACTCAGTGGCTGCTCTGTGAGTGCGTATGTTTTTACGACACTTTTAACACTTTTCCAGCAATCTCTTGGTGGGCAACACAAGAAATATATTTTATACACCTTTTACCCATGTGGGGAACTGAAATAGAGTCTTCAGTGTTACGCTTTGATCTACATGAGTGAGATTATTAACCATTAAAACGTGGCATTATTCACTAGTTAAAATATTCATCAAAATGGATTCTGTGAAGTAAATTATATTAGCGCATACAGTTGGCTCCTATAGCATCCCAAAGTGTGATTTAACTTTCCTTTTCTCTTCCAAAGGGAGCAAAACATTTGCTATCTTCTAAAATAGTTGGTCCTTTTAAGGTGATAAATAAGAATAACATATCTCAGATCAGGTAAGAATTTCAGCCTTTCAGACAAGAAAGTTCTGAACAAGGCAAACACAACATGAATTCGGTATTTGGGGGTGTATACACCTTTTATTGGCTATGTACAAGAAGCATGATACTAATTTAGCTATACTAAAGGTCATTCTAATCATGCAAATACCAAAGCAATGTACCCTTCTCTATTCCAGTATGATGAATTTCCTGGATTCATTGGAAAAAACATCTGTCCATTCAGGTCAGGACTCGGGGTATTTACCATTAAAGAACTGAGATACAGTACTCTGGACCCGGTACGGTCTGGTCATTAAACTAAAGCAAAGATAGTTACATAAAAATGTGTAGTAAGAATATAGTCAAAAACATAAACAGCATCATCAACAACAACAACAAAGCATTAATATACAGCTTGGTAGATGACAGTATAGATAAACATCAATATAGCAATTAACATATAATCCTTCACTTCCTCAAAAACATTTCATATATAAAGTCAGGCAGGCAAAACATAGATAATATTTGCAAGTAAATGACTCCCATGCATATCAACAATCTTTTAATAGCATGCGCGACAAAAAGGTTTCGATCCTTTGGCAGGCAGTTGGTGGTTTCATCGCACTGATCTGCAAAATGAGTTCTACATTCTGTTTAGTTTTCACTCTCACTATTAGGTTCTGAATGTCTCTCATATCAATTTTGATAACTTCAGGATGACCTGCATAAAAGCCTGATTCAAGCCTAATCCCTGACTGAGGACCTAATTCACTAAGCATAGCTTCCAAAAATGTCAACACCTCTTGCACATTCTCCAGAGGATGCAACTTTCCTATCTCAACAGTTTTTTCTACATTGTGCCGGGTGATGAAACGCACTGGCCTTGACAGCATGCATCTCAGATTAAACGTAAATTCTACACAATTTCCAGGGAGGCCAATCAGTGGGTCGACAGGGGAGGGAAGTAACAGGTCTGTCTTCATAATATGATTATCTCCGTTTGTACATCCTTCCCTCAACCCCTCTGAATAAACAGCATTCTGTCCACTATCTACCCTGGAACGATCTTCCATCAAAGTCTCTTCATACGCAGTATCCAGCTGTTTCCGCCCACTATCTGCTCTGGAACAACCATCCCCTACTTTCCCCGAACGGACATCATTCTGCTGATGTTGTCCACCTTCTGCCGTTGTACAATCTTCCATCAGTTTCTCCGAGTTGACACCATCAAGTAGGTCCGCTACCGGGTTCCCGGACCTATTTCCGCCTTTGATGTTATATTTAAGCTTGACATCTGGAATGGTCTCTTCTGTTTCAGCACTGGGTGGGTCTTTCTTCGTGTTCTGCCTCGCTTTAACCCTCATCTTAATTCCAAATGTGTCAGAGTGGTATCCTTCTTCTGACGGCGTGATATAGCAGCATGCAAGGACATCTACAACATGATTAAACACCTCTTCGTCTGTTAAGGACTGAATGTCCTCTTCACTCACGTCGCTCACGTCACACTGATGAAGATGAACGTAGAGCTCATCATCAGTCATTTCACACCCATCCTCGTGTTTAGCAATTAAGACCCCCGCGATTCGTTCATCTGTATTGACGTCTCCGCATTCCGAGTCATGTTTCTTGCTAGCCACAGGAGCAGGACTCTGATGCGCAGAAGACCTCTTCGATTCCAAATCTTTCAGACGCCTCATAATACATTCTAAAATCTCCTTTGTACAGCCAGCTGGAAACAAAATACATTACTGTCAGTCCATCTTTCTCAATTACATCAACAATTTTAACACATTAATTATAACCAAACCCTTTCCATAATCATAAGAAATGCGGGTTAAAAGAACAGCTCTTTGTACGAATCCGACTTATTCACAAAAATGAATCACTATAAGAAGGTTTATACATGATGAACTCCTATCAGCATTGCAAACGTTGCCATGTACAGGTGTGTACAATTACAGTAAAGTATATAATGTGTAATGTTCATGGAATGACTATGTGTGACAGGCTCATGGCGATTACGAACATTAACTTTACACTTTATACACGTTTCACAACTACGTAAACTGTTACAACCAGTCAGCACTTAGGTGATCCTAAAAACGTTTATGATAAGCAAATCCATCAAAGATTGATGCAGACAATATATATCGAACTGATCTGATAAAGGTGTTCTATGCTCCTGGTTGTGCGAAATGATCTGACAGATATTAACCAGGGTGTTGCCAACCACATGATGTGTTTATGTATTATGAATCCTGGGACTCGTGCGTGTTTCATGCAAAACTTACATTGAAAGTTCAGTATTACTACACTCCCATTGAGTATCCCTGCCGAGATGGATCCTTCCAAGTGCCCCCCTGACGCGCCTGTCGTTACTTGTGTCAGCGGCTGTCCATCCTCAACTGCAAAAGATCAACACACAAAGCACATTAGCAGAAAGCGTCAGATAAGAACCCAAAAATGTTCAAAGAGCGGCCAATTGTTGTATTAGGCTAGCGACATGGGCCGTTAGTCACTAATAGCAATCGTTATATTGTCTGATCACGACATGGCTGCTTAAACAGAAACTACAACATACCCTAGCGACATGGGCCTTTAGTCACTAAGAGCAATCTTTATATTGTCTGATCCCTACATGGCTGCTTACACAGAAACGACAACATATCCTACCCACATGGGCCGTTAGTCACAATAGCACTCATTATATTGTCTGATATAACAATGTTGCTTACACAGAAATGACAACATACCCTAGCGACATGGGCCGTTAGTCACAATAGCACTCATTATATTGTCTGATATAACAATGTTGCTTACACAGAAATGACAACATACCCTAGCGACATGGGGCGTTAGTCACTATAGCACTCATTATACTGTCTGATCCCAACCCGACTCATCACACAGAAACACCAAATGTATCTAAGTTATCTATGGCATCAATTTATCTTCATCTCTGCTGACACAGTAAACTATGTATATAGCGAACAGACTTATAACAAAGCGCCCATGTTACACCAGCCAGAACAGTAAGAGCACGTGTTTTCGGAAAACAAACTAGTTTTCGTCGAATACATTTAGAGAAATGTACTGAGTCATATTAGACTGGGCAAAAATAGTTAGGGATATATGTACATTTTGAAATTATGCATAATGATCTATTTATTCATTGACACACTGATAAAATATAAATCATAAAAATACCAATATCCCTAATATATTTTAGCCATGCCACTTGCTGTATATTTTAGCAGGAATATTCGTTATAACCGTAGTTCAGTGATTATACTGAATGGTATGAAGACTCATGTACCTGTGGGATGGAGTGCCTTCTCTTTTCGGTTCTGTGAATGTTCTGAGACCAGTGCCACTTTTGTCTCATCCTTCGGAAAATCAGGTATAGGGTTTTCTTTTCCTGTCTGCGATATTCTGCAACACCGAGCACATGGTCATAAGCATGTTGAATGGCACCGGGAGCTTTGGGTTTTCTGTTTGTATATTTAATGTCATTGATTAATAGGGGTAGAAAGAAAGTCAATATTGCCCTTTATGTAACATAGGAATAGAAAATGAAATTCATTTTACAAATTTTAATTTACATTTTAAAAGTAGGGAACTAATGATCTGTACTACCACACACTCTAACCCCTCTCCCTCCCTCCCAAACGTGTTGGGCATTCACTCCTATTATGACTACTTCCAATTTGACTACACGACAATAGGTATTCATGTCTTCATGACAATAAGATGTCCGGTTACGTAAGGTTGGAAGAGTTCGGGGGAATTTACAAATACTGTTTTGCCAGCCTGCATCCTTCATCCCTAAAATGTACAATACATTCTCATTGATCAGTTTAAGCAGCTATAGTGGCGCTCTGCTGTTGAATCATCGAAAGGTTAATACTACATAATGTATAAGCACTCACTATTTATTACGATAGCCTGTTTGCAGTGAAAACGTACCGATGAATTTCACTTTAAACAAAAACGTAAATCAAATAAAGTGAAATTAGAAGTACGGATCCTCCTAATTTTACCTTGCCAATTGAACATTTAAATCTCAGAATTTTATTCAACTTAGGATAAAAGTTGTTTAACAAACGACCATAGTTTCAAATCGCTAATGTTAGTTTGTATTACAAGGGGGTATGCACATTAAATGAAACACCGAGAAGAAGTAGGGTTGGTCTAAGAAGTACGCCCATCACGTACTGCACGTGCATTTGTATCACTGTTCCAATTACTGCGTTTACTCCCTTGTAATATAAACCAATAATAGCGATTTGAATCTATGATCGTCTGTTAAAAGTTGAATACAATTCTGAAATTTATATGTATACTTGGATAGGTAAAATTATGAGGATTCTCAATCTTAATTTCACTTTATTTGATTTACTTTATTGTTTAAAGTGAAATTCATCGGTACGTTTTCACTGCAAACAGACTATATAGACGCTGGTTCACTAAATTTAGAATTCAGACCAACGTCGTTTAATGTTTTAACATGCATCAATATGCTGTATGGTCTCTGTGTCACTATAGGAGGGGGTATCAAAAAGTTCCAATTATCACCCAGAAGTTATTGAGCAATCAGGATAAAAGTTTGACTGTAACATCAGTGATCCTTATCTAGTTAATGGACCAAGAACTATCTACTTCACTACATCCAGTCTTGTGCGAGTTGATCCTACACACCAGTATCCACAAGTATGAAGAAGATTGAAGTGCGCAGTGTAATTAAGTTCTTGCACTTGAAGGGCTGCACTGCACGACAAATTCACGATGGGATCAAATCTGTTTATGGTGATGATAGCACATCTGATGAAACTGTTGTGACATCGAAAAAATTTTCCCAACTGGTCACATGTCCCTCACAGATGAGCCAAGAAGTAGACGCCCCTCACTTACTGATGATTTGGACACCGTGAACAAGTCGAGGCGCTGGTTCAGGAAGATCGCCGTGCAACAATACACATGGCTATGCATGAGACCGACTTGAGCTATGGCAGTGCATGGAACATCATTCATAACCAACTGCACATGTCCAAAGTGTCAGCACGTCGGGTTCTTCGCTTACTGACTCATCTTCAAAGACAGACTCGACGAGACATGTCACGACAGGCATTGGAGCTTCTGTTGGGACTATTTGAATGATCCTGAGACAAAATAGCCCAGCGGATAAGTGATCAAATTGTGCACTTTGTGTTACAAGCATGAAACTTGGCATGATTGTAGCTTATACCATTCTAACTGAATAAAGATCGAGAGGCCTCGCAGATTTTTTATATTTTCCATCATTTTAGGGAAAAAAGTGAAACAATATAATTTTTTATACTGTTTTCGTCATAACTTTTTTCAAAATTCTCCAATTCTCATAAGTCATATATCAAATTGTAGGAAATGTATAGCTGGTCATTTTCCATCTATACATGTCTTTTTATCTTTAACGGTTAGGTCTACGGAAGTCAATTTATATCATCACTACCCGAAAATGCGAAAATTGGTTGCCATTTTGAAAAATGGACGCCAATTTTCGCACACCATTTTTCAAAACGGCCGCCATATAGAGTACATCAGTAAAATAAGTATGAAATCATCCCATGATCTAAAATATGTTTATCATTTCTTTGCAAATTCAATACGAGAAGCCTCACAGATTGTTGTAATCTTTTATATTTGGGGGGGAAAAAGTGGGGAAAAAATTGAATTTTCCAAAAAAAATTCTTTTAACTCAATTTTAAATCCTCATAAATTATGTATCTAGAATATTGTGAGAACAGACGAAAGTTTATCTTAAGGAATATATCATTAGATTTACTTACATGTATAATGTATGAGCTTGGTTGGCTATAGATCACCTATGAAAACTTATCAAAATCAACGCAAACATATTTCATTTCAACATCAATGTCAAAGTAGCTATCTCATTAATCTATGGAAGGTTACCTAATCATGTGTAACTGTATCTAGCTTGACTGAATGAGAAAGTGCAGTGCACTTGAGAGCTGCTTTTAAACACTTGGGCCAGTTTGAACATTCTATACACATGCATTTCAGCAATTCCTGGCAGCCCTTTCATGCCGACAGAAGAGTTGTCCATACAGGTCCAAGCTCTCCCCTAGAGTTATTGCCAACCCTATACAGAGGGCTTGGTAACTCCTGTGATTTCATCAGGTATTGCTCTGAAACATAACTCCCCTGATTTACAGCTCTCTTTATATGTTGGATCAAAGCTGATTCTGTTGGGGGAATGTTGTCCAAAGTTCTCCCCATCGTGGTGAACAAATGCTTTCTTGCTTCATTCACTTTCATGGGGTTGCCTGCTCTGTCATACAGCAGTACAACAAATCTCTCAAGCTGATGAATCAGCATTAGTGATTAGTGATTTCAAGTGGTGGACAGGTGAGGGAAATAGAGGTGCCTGTAAGTTCAGGAAAAGCAATCCATGCATTCCACGAGGTCTTTTCATATCAAAGGATGACACAATGTCACAGAATGTGAAGCTGTGAAACATTGGAAGGGATCTACTTTTCTAGGACCCAGACCGGATGCAAGTTCATGAATTACAATATAGCGGAAGAGATTTCCGGTACCAAACCCCACCCATACTTCTTCAAGATCGAGAATGCCTGTTGCAGCTATGGCCAACACAACCACATCAGTGTCAACAGTACGGCTGTAAAACTTCTTCCATCCTTTATGTGAAGCATCAGTGAAGCAACTTTC